CAAATACAACACTCATTAGACAATCTGTTTTAGTTCAGGCTGTCGAAGATATTAAAATACATTTTATTTAAATGAATCATCAGCACTGATTGTCCCAACATTATGGTACCAGTAACAATTCTATCCATTTATTTTCACTGTTTTTAAATGTAAAGCATCAAAATAAAACTATAATATTTCAATATTTCAGTCCCGGAGCCGGCCAGCAAGACCTGGAAAGAGGTGCTTTCTGCAAGTTACAGCAGTTCAACGAGTGGCAACTGGAGCTGGGATGCCAGTGACCAATCGGTGCCCTCCACACCGTCCCCGCCGCTTTCCAACGATGCCAGCAAGAATTTCCTGCTCTCGTCCCAGGGTGATGATGTCAGCGAGGATGTCACAGAAAGCACACACTTCATGTTTGAGGACCCCATACCCCGGAAACGGAAGGTAAAATGTTGGTACCCTGTCGAGCGTCTTCTGCTTTAATTAAAAAAATACAGAGTAACCAGTTTTTATCCACGTATTCAAAATGTTGAGACTAAATAAACGTAACAGATTGTAATTCAAATTCAGGGCCAAAGATGTGGACAGATAAATCAAACAAGTTTTTTCTTCTAAAGAACAGAAGGGAGCTACTAGAAAATACTAGAAATATTCWGAATACGCAACACCTCTGACATAAACCGGTCCATATCTGCTGATGGATTAACTTCTCTCTTTTCACTTTTTTTCCCCAAATTTTGTTCAWTTCAGACCATTTTCCACATCGGAGTGCTTTCATAGCCAATAAGGCTTCCATCCGTTGTAAAGTCCTTAAGGGTAGGAAGGTTGGATAGTCAGGGGAAAATGAAGGAAAGGATTTAAATGGGGGAGGGATGAAGTATGGGTTGAAGGGATTCAGAAAAATGAGAGCAGTTGGAATTTGTTAGGAAGAGAAGGAAAATTATTGCTCAAGGCGACCTCAGGAGGACAAATGGATCTTCTCATTCCCTGCAGCCTCAGAGTGGCAGAGGAGGGTTCATATACTGTGCATATGGGAGTCTGCAGTTCATTCTCTTTGAGGCAAGACTGTAGTAAASATCATTGACTTCCTGATACAAATATTCAGCCTTACAATATCTAAAGACAGTGCTGTGAAATCGGTATAGGTTTCCATTTACAGTAAACAAAGTTGAAACCCTTCTCAGTTTATTGTTTACTTACCACTGGGCTTGAAAATGTTTATTTGCTTTTAGAATTAAAAAAATGTGGCATTGAATCATTTTTTGTTTATTTTTTTAGAAGCACAGCTACATATTTAATAACTTTGCTAAAAAAAAATCCTAATTTTTTTATATTTTTAGCCCAAATCTAGACAGCACCCTCTGCTGGACGCAGATGAAAGGGCAGGCTGGACTTKGCCTTCATTGCGTTCAATTTTTAATTAAAACTGTGCTGTTTTTTTATTGTTTATCTAAGTTTTMTGTTTTTATTGGAAAACCTTAGAAGCTGAATGGAGATTATCCARTGGCTGCTTCTGGCTGCAGTTTGCYCGTGTGTGATCTAGTGTGAGCAGCTATTGATTGGATCGTAGTCGGCTGCCAGATTTCATACAAATAGCGAGTTAAGAGGATAATTTACCCCGCCTGTTAGCTGAATTACTGTAACAGTGTTAAGATGACAGAAAAAGAGCTTAAGGAATAAGATGATTTATTGATCGTTAATAGGCTTTGGGGTTAGCGTTGCTGCACTTTCTTTCTTTTTAACTCTCGTGGTTGGRTGGAAGCAARTTACCAACACTTCTCAAGAGGTTTTTTCTGCATCGTTTTTGCTGTTAAAGGCAAAAATAATTACAGTCAACAAGAAATGTTTTATTGTGTCTTAGAGTTAACTTAATCATTAGTTGAAAACACGTTTTGTGACACTGTCATTCTAAAACTCTTCTGCTCTTTTTTTCTGGTGTTTTTTTCTTCATGGGCTGTTTGAGGGCAATGAAAGCACACACCTTCTGTCTTTTATTAGCAGAGATGCAGGTCTCTGCCTGCTCAAGGGAGGGAGCTGCTGGCCTAGACATGTAGGGAAAAGTAAAAAGAAAAAAGAAATGAAACAACAGCCCCGTGCCTGCTGTCTAAACATCTCCTCATAGTTTACGCTGCACATGAGTCAGGCAGCCTGATTCTGTTTTATGTTTCATGAGATTTCAGGAGTGCTGGGACACAATTCAAGGTCTCTTCATTTTGATCGACGCTCTGAATCATATGTAACAATGCCTTTGTCTCGTCATCAAATGTTTCCTTACCACAACCCCACATCACGAGCAAGTTAGCAATGAGATGTAAAAATAGTGCATGAAGTTATTTGTTTTAAAGCTGCATAAAATGTTAGTTTTATTTAGTCCTGATCTCATTTACACTCCTATTTACTGTTTCTAGCTGTTTTATACAGTCGCTCAGTGTGTCAGGAATAGCTGACCTGTRAAAGTCACACAAAAGACTGAAACAACCGTTTTCATTTCATCCATCAGTTCATACATCATTTATTCAGGGATGTTTCGATGCATGATTAGTGTTTCAACTTTCTGCATTTTATTTTCTGTAAATGTAAAAAGTTTGAAGGCTGGTCTAAAAGATCAATCACGTTGCTTTTTTTTATCTTTCCAGAACTCCATGAAGGTGATGTTTAAGTGCTTGTGGAAGAATTGTGAAAAAGTCCTCAGCACCTCCTCAGGGATCCAGCGACATATCCGCACCGTCCACCTGGGGTGGGTTGTTTTCATCGCACCCACTCTGAGCACACGTACACACACACTCAAACACACTGTTTGTGTGTTGTCTCTGACAGTTTTTCAGTAACATTTAGTCCAGATGAAACTTCATTTTACCAACAGGACCACATCTCTCTTACACTTGGCTTCATTTTTTTTTTTGTTATTCACTTAGATTTGATTTTTGTTCCTTTTCTCACCCTTGCACCTCAGGTTTTGTCCTAATCAAATTCCTACACACCCACACACACTCCCACACACATGTACACCCCCACCAGGCAGTAACATGAGCTTCATGAGTTACACATTCATTTTGATGGTCATAATTTATAAAAAGATGTCTTTTTTTACAGTCATTGTAGCTATTTTCAAAATGATTTTTTTTTTAGGTTTTAGTGTTAATAAAAAACTTTTTAATCTCCTCAGCTGCTTTGGGGTTGTAGACTATTATTTGGAGCATGTTGTAAGACAAAACTAGTGACAGTTTATATTCTGTTCACC